CTGATTTTTGTATTTTTAATAGAGATGAGGTTTCACTATGTTGGTCAGGCTGGTCTTAAACTCCTGATCAAGCAATCCACCCACCTCGGCCTCCCAAAGTGCTGGGATTATAGGCGTGAGCCACCGTGCCTGGCCAATTTTTGTATTATTAGTAGAGACGGGTTTTCACCATGTTGGCCAAGCTGGTCTCGAACTCCTGACCTCAGGTGATCCACCTGCCTCAGCATCCCAAAGTGGTGGGATTACAGGCATGAGCCACCATGCCCACCAATATATTTTCTATTAAAATTTTTTATTTTGTGTTTTACTTTGTTAACTTTTTGCTAAAAACTGAGACACAAACACATATATTAGCCTAGGCCTACACAGGGTTAGGCTCATCAATATCACTCTTTTTCACCTCCATATCTTGTCCCATGGGAAGGTCTTCAGTGGTAATATATGCATGGAGCTGTCATCTCCTATGATAACAATGTCTTCTTCTGGAATACCTCCTGAAGAACCTGCCTGAGGCTGTTTTCAGTTAACATTTTTTTTTTTTTTAATTACTAGAAGGAGTATACTCTAAAATAACAGGCCAGGCACAGTGGTGCATACCTGTAATCTCAGCACTTAGAGAGGGCAAGGCAGGTGGATTGCTTGAGCTCAGGAGTTCAAGACCAGTGTGGGCAACAAGGCAAGACCCCATCTCTACAAAAAATACAAAAATTAGCTGGGTGTGGTGGTGTGCACCTGTGGTCCCAGCTACTCAGGAGGCTAAGGTGGGAGGATTGCTTGAGTGACTGGCGGTACAATAGGTTTGTTTACATCAACATCACCAAACATATGAGTAACGCATGGATGATGTCACTACGTGATAGGAATGTTTCAGCTTCTTTATAATCTTATGGGATCACCATTGTATACGTCATCTGTGGTTGACTGAAATACAGTTATGTCACACTTGGCTGTGTACTTATACTGTAGATGACCAAGTAACAGAGCCCATTAATACATTTTAAAAGCAAATTTTCAACAAGACTTGAAAGATGCCTTTCCTGACACCATTTTCCTGGTTCCCCTTTTACTAACTTTGATGATTCTTCTCAGTCATTTCTGTGAACTTTTGTTCCTCTACCTATCTTGTTAACCATCTATCTTATCTAGAGGTTCTGTCATCACCTGCGTAAACTCTTCCTCAATCACAACCACTCTCTTACATTGTTATTGAATAAAGAATGAATAATGACTCTTTTTTAATTAAATTTTTTTTTCTTTTTCTTTTTTTTTAATAAATGGTCCTTCCCCAATTCCAATGACTCTTAAAATCTTTATCTTAAATTCTACATCCTCTGTGCTTCAAATGTTTTCCAAATGCTTGCTAAGATGTCATAAAGTTACCTAAAATTTATTTGTTTATTTTATTTATTTATTTTTATTTTTTGAGATGGAGTCTTGCTCTGCTGCTTAGGCCGGAGTGCAATGGTGCAATTTCAGCTCACTGCAACTTCTGCCTCCTGGGTTCAAGCGATTCTCCTGCCTCAGCCTCCTGAGTAGCTGGGATTACAGGCCTCTACCACCATGCCCAGCTAATTTTTGTATTTTTAGTAGAGATGGGGTTTCACCATGTTGATCAGGCTGAACTTGAACTCCTGACCTCAGGTGATCTACCCACCTCGGCCTTCCAAAGTGCTGGGATTATAGGCGTGTGCCACTGCACCCAGCCTATTTACTTATTTTGAGACAGGGCCTCTCTCTTTGTTACTCAGGCTGGAGTGCAGTGGCACAATCTCAGCTCAGCTCACTGTAGTCTCAACCTCCAGGCTCAAATGATCCTCTCACCTCAACCTCCCAAGTAACTGGGACCACAGGCGTGTGCCACCATGCCTAGCTAAATTTTTCTATTTTTGGTAGAGATGGGGTTCCACCATATTGCCCATACTGGTCTCCTGAGCTCAGGCAATTTGCCTGCCTTGGCCTCCCAAAGTGCTGTCATTACAGGTGTGAGCCACCATGCCTAGTCGTACCTAAAATTTATAAATGAACTCAAGTTTTCTTCCTTCTCTTTTTACTGGCCTCCTCTGCCTTCCACACCTGCTCTCTCTCCACCCCATTCTCTGTACCGGCTGATGCTGCCTTTGCCATTTCAATCTCCCAAGCCTGAAAAGTGGGAGTTTCCCTTTTCCTCCCTTTCCCTTCTAATACTAAATCCCAGCCTATTCTGTTTCCTAAATATATAATCTGTTTCCACTATTACATCCCTATTAGTACTACTTTAGTTCAGGGTCCGTGCTAAGGTTAAGTGCATGGGCTTGGCAGTCAGACAGGCTTGAGTTTAAATCCTGACTCTCACATTCACTGGCTTTCAAACCCTAGGCAACTTACTCAACCTTTTTAAACCATCAATCCTCAAACCTGGCTGCACATGGGAACCACCTGTGCAGCGTAAAGAAAATACTGGCCAGGTGCGGGGGCTCACGTCTGTAATCCCAGCACATGGGAGGCTGAGGTGGGAGGATGACTTGAGGTCAGAAGTTTGAGACCAGCTTGGCCAACATGGTGAAACCCCATTTCTACTAATACTACAAAAATCAGTTGGGCGTGGTGGTGCTGAAATAGCACCACTGCTCGGCAACAGAATGAAACTGTGTCTCTAAAAAAAAAAAAAATACTGATGCTTGGTGCAACCACCAAGCCTTCTGATTTCATTGGAGTGGAGAGAGGCCTTAGCATTGGGAGTTTTAAAAAGCCTCCCCTTGGGGAGGTCCCCTTTATCTCTACTGGATAAAGTTCAATCCTCTTCTTGTGCTTTCTCTATTAGCTTTGTCTCCTATGCCCCTGCCTTTCAACAACAGCACCACTTAGAGTTTATGCATAAAACCTCCCTGTCACCCCCAAGCCTGATCCTTCTGCCTGGAATGTCTTGTTTTCACTCTCCCAGCTGGCCCTTCCCCAACCTGTATCTTCTCCAGGCTATTTCTTAGTCATTCTTCATCCTTCAAGACTCAACTCATATATCATCTCCTTGGTTTGGTATGTCTTCCTGACCACTCTGTGCAAACCTTGTTCTTGGTCTAACATGTTGAATCGTAGTTTGTGTCTCTCTCCCACTGGACTCTCTGAGGACAGGCCTGAAATCAAAGGTCCTCCAATTTTATTGAAATGAAACAGATCCAACACAACTCTTGCTTTCTCTATGAAGCCATACTTATATCTACTTTAGCCCAAATTTATTTCCTTCTCTTCTGTAGTCCTAAAACACTTGGGAATTGTATCATCTCTAACCCATGCGTTCTAAGTGACTAAAGGACAGAAACCTTGTCTGTATCTTTTAGGCCTTCCCCAAGGCACCCAACAAGTGTTAACTTAGAGTGTTGCTTAAAAACACTCATTGGTTACTAGAAGCAAATAAAGTTTGGAGGGCTCATCAAGGAGAGTGGGTAAAAATATTAAATGGGAATGGGCATAGTGGCTCATTCCTGTAATCCCAGCACTTTGGAAGATTGAGGTGTGAGGATTGCTTGAGCCCAGGAGTTAAGACCAAGATCAGCCTGGGCAACAAAGCAAGACCCTGTGTCTATTAAAAAAAAAAAAAAAAATTATATATATATATATATATATATAAAATATTATTCAAAATAGATTTTTCCATTTTATATATATATATATATATATATATATACACACACACACACACACACACACACAACTGTAATATATATTATATATATATAGTGGAAAAATCTATTTTGAAAAACTAAAGATCTTATTACTGCTTGTCCAATACAATAGCTACTAACCACATTTGGTTATGAGCACTTGAAATGTGGCTGGTGCAACTGAGGAACTGAATTTTAAGTTTTAGTTAATTTTAATTAATTTACATTTTAAAACTCATACTTGATTTAATTGTTGGAGCCCTTTTAAGTATGTTTGAAATGACCTGGATATGTGAATCTATTTTTTTTTTTGAGATAGAGTCTTGCTCTGTTGCTCAGGCTGGAGTGTAGTGGTGTGATCATAGCTCACTCCAGCCTCTGCCTCCTGGGCTCAAGCAATTTTCCCATGTCAGCCTCAGTCGAGTAGGTGGGACTACAGGTGTGAGCTACGATGCATAGCTAATTTTTAAATTTTTCGTGGAGACAAGGTCTCACTATGTTGCCCTGGCTGATCTGAAACTCTTGGGCTCAAGTGATCCTCCCACTTTGTCCTCCCAAAGTTTTGGGATTATAGATGTGATCTGTGGCATCCGGCCTGAATCTACTTTTTAAACTGTCAGCTTCATGAAATCTAAGTATAGATCAAGATTTTCCAGTGAAAAGTTAGACTTTAAATTGAGGTGTTTTATAAGTACAAAATAAGCACTGAATTTCCAAGACTTAGGTATAATTTTAAAATGTAAAATGCATCATTAATAATTTTATATTGATAAATGTTATAATATTTTGAATAAATTGATTTAGGTAAAATAAATTGCTAAAATTAATTTTACCTGATTTTACTACTAGAAAATGTAAAATTACATATGTGGCTTGAATTATGTTTCTATTGGAGAGAGCTGATCTGTTCCAACAGGCTTTGCTTTTTGATAATTATTATAATGACTGAATTTCAACCCTCTCATTTTTTTTTTTTTTTTGAGAAGGATTTTGCTCTTGTCACCCAAACTGAGTGTAAGGGCGCTATCTCAGCTCTCTGCAACCTCTGCTGCCCGGGTTCAAGCAATTCTCCTGCCTCAGCCTCCCGAGTAGCTGGGATTACAGGTGCCTGTCACCAAGTCCAGCTAATTTTTTGTATTTTTAGTAGAAACAGGATTTTGCTGTGTTGACCAGGCTGGTCTTGAACTCTTGATCTCAAATGATCCACCCGCCTCGGCTTCCCGAAGTGCTGGGATTACAGCCATGAGCTACTGCACCCAGCCAACCCTCTCATTTTCTAAGACAGTTTTTAGTAACTAGTGGTAAGTGATTTTACAGATAACTAAGTGATATTATCTCTTTTGAACCCTTCTATCAATGCAGATCATAAGCTACCTTCTCAGCCCAAGGAGCATAGCATTGGTCAGAAGCATCACCAGGAGGAAATAATTCACAAGTTGGCCATGCAGCTGAGACACATTGGGGACAGCATTGATCATAGGATGGTTCGAGAGGTGAGGCTCCACTTTCCCCAGCCAGGGCATGTCAGGTTGGAGGCAAGAGTAAACAAAACTATGGCTGCCAAGTGTCTGAGACACCCAGAAATTATCAAAATTCATGGATTACTGCTGTCTGGATTACCAAATATTCTATCTAAACATTGTGAACCTGAGCCAAAGCTGGCATTTCATCTCATACTTGCTGCTCAGATTGTGGTCTGTGGACTGGCAGCATCAATGTCACCTGGTTAGATGTGCAAGCTCTGAGACCCCAGCCCACACAGTCAGAATCAGAATCTACCTCTTGTTGCCCAGGCTGGAGCACAGTGGCATGATCTCGGCTCACTGCAACCTCTGCTTCCAGGCTCAAGTGATTCTCCTGTCTCAGCCTCCCAATTAGCTGGGACTACAGGTGAGTGCCACCATGCCCAGCTAATTTTTTGTATTTTTAGTAGAAATGAGGTTTCACGGTGTTAGCCAGGATGGTCTCGATCTTCTGACCTCGTGATCCGCCTGCCTCGGCCTCCCAAAGTGCTGGGATTACAGGCATGAGCCACCGCACCCAGCCCAGAATCTGCCTTTTTACGCATTCCCCAGGGAATTTGTGTGCACACTGAAGTGTGAGAAACTGCTCCACATCCTCAAAATAGGATGCAATTGGAATCACGTGTTGAGTTTTAAGAATGACAGATGCCTGGGCCCAACCTGGAGAAATTCTGATTTAATTGCCGCAAGGTAAGGCTGGGGCACCTGGCATTTTAAAAACTGCCTCAGTGAATCTAATGCACAGTCAGGGAGGAGAACCTGTGCCTTGGACTTTGGTTATCCTCCCTGAATCAGCCCGAAGGGTAGGATGCAGGCCCTAGCCCGGCCGGTTTCTTAGTTTCTCCTGATTATTATAAGAGATAAAAAGGGAAAATAGGAAAGACTAATGATTACTGTTTGAAATTTTGGGGTTGATGAAATCCATAGCTAACTTATTTTTTCCCCAGAACAACCTGTATTTGGCAGCAGAGAATGATCACTTGGGCTCCATGACAGACGGGATGGCAGCCCCTCAGAGCCCAACTTCTTGCCCTTAGATTCAGCTATCCTGTGAAGCTTTCTTGGTGCAGCTTCCACCATGCTGCCTTCCACCATGCATGCCATAGGGAGTGCCATGTCCTCTTTTATACTCAGGTCCAAATGTGGACAACACACAGCTTGCCCTCAAATAAAACATCCCTGAGACAAAATATGAATGGGAAATCTCAACAATAATGCTATAAAAGCAAGAAGGGGCCAGGTGCGGTGGCTCACACCTGTAATCCCAGCACTTTGGGAGACCAAGGTGGGTGGATCACTTGAGGTCAGGAGTTCGAGACAAGCCTAACCAATATGGTGAAACCTCGTCTCTACTGAAAAACGCAAAAACTAGCCAGGCATGGTGGCACGCGCCTGTAATTCCAGCTATTTGGGAGGCTGAGGCAGGAGAATCGCTTAAACCCGGGAGGCAGAGGTTGCAGTGAGCCGAGATTGTGTCATAGTGTGGGTGACAGAGTGAGACTCTGTTTCAAAAAAAAAAATGCAAGAGGGAAATAAAGAGAAAATAAACATAGAGAAAATAGACAAATAAACTATTTGATAAGTCAATTTCATGCCAACAAATATTTATTGAGTGCCTACTATATGCCAGACTCAGTTCCAGGCATTGGTGGCTATAGGGGTGAGCAGCAGGCCTCATAGAAATAATGCAGTGAGGGGGCAGATTAACAAAGCAGATGAACACTTAACAGCTAAGTCAGACGGGGATGTGAGCTCCAAGCAGGATCAGGGCACACTGACTGATGCAGAGTGGCTTCGGATGGGTGGTCAGGGAAGGCGTCTCTGGGAAGGTGATGTCTGAGCAGAGACTGGAAACGAGGGAGCTACTAGCCACGGGAACACCTGGAGTGGGAAGGTGTTCCAGGTAGAGGGAACAGCCAGTGTAAAGCCCAGCCCCCCCAATCTACTTTGTGTCTCTGTGGATTTGCCTATTCGGACATTTTATGTAAGTGGAACAGCAAGATATAAAAATGGCCTCTTTCACCTAACATAGTTTTTTCAAGGCTTAACCACGTTGTAGCATGTATCAGTACTTCTTTTTACAGCTGAATATTCTATTGTATGGATATGCCACATTTTGCTTATCCATTCACCAGTGGCTGGATATTTGGGTTGTTTCCGCTTTGCGGCTATTGTGAATAATGAAGCTATGAACATTTGTATTTAAGTTTTTGTGTAGACATGTTTTTAATTATTTTGGGTACATACCTGGGAATGGAATTGCTTTTTGAGGAACTTCCAGACTGTTTTTCAAAGTGGCTGCACTATTATACACTGTGGCCCACCAGCAGTGTATGAGGGTTCCAGTTCCTCCACATCCTTTCTCATAGTTGTTATGAACTATCTTTTTGATTATAGCCATCCTAGTGAGTGTGAAGTGTATCTCACTGTGGTTTTGATTTGTATTTCCCTGATGGCTAATAGGCATCTTTTCATATGTTTATTGATCATTTTTCTCTTTAGAGAAATGCCTATTCATATCCTTGCCCATTTATAATTGGACTTCTTATCTTTTTATTATTGTAGGAGTCTTTTTTTTTTTTTTTTTTTTTTTGAGACAGAGTCTTGCTCTGTTGGCTCGTCTGGAGTGCAGTGCTGTGATCATAGCTCACATAGCCTTGAACTACCAGGTTCAATTGATCCTTCCACCTTAGCCTCCTGAGTAGCTGGGACCGCAGGCACGTGGCACCACACCAGGCTAATTTTTTTATTTTTATTTTATTTTTTGTAGAGACAGAGCCTCACTACATTGTCCAGGCTGGTCCTGGATTCTTGGGCTGAAATGATCCTCCTGCCTTGGCCTAGGAGTCATTTTTATATTCTAGGTGTACCTTCCTCATCGGATATATGATTTGCAAATCTTGTATCCCATTCTGTATGTTGTCCTTTTAGTCTGTTGATAGTGTTCTTTAAAGCACAAAAGTTTTAAGTTTTGATGAAGTTCAATTTATCGACTGTTCTTTTTGTTGTTAGTCCTTTTACTTTGGGTGTTAGTTACACTTATGTTTTCTTCTAAAGGCTTTTTAGTTTTAGCTGTCACATTTAGGTCTTTGATCCATCTGAAGTTAACTTTTATATACATTTGAGTTAAAAACCTATCTTCATTTTTTTTGCATATGGGTATCCAGTTGTCCCAACACCATATGGATTTTGTTGTTGTTTACTTATTTGTTTGAGATGGGGGTCTTGTTATGCTGCCCAGACTGGCCTTGAGCTCCTGGGCTCAAGAGATCCTCCCATCTCAACCTCCTGAGCAGCTGGGACTACAGGTGCATCCCACTGTCTCTGAAGTACCATTTGTTGAAAAGACTATTGTTTCCCTATAAATTGTCTTGTCGTTACGGGATTTGTGGGATGTCAATTTTCTGGCCAAAAACCTCTGTGGCCATGGCATCTTTTCCCCAACTTCTTGTCCTGCATCCAGGAAGAATGCATCCAGGAGGAATGAGGCATGTAGACAAGTGAAGGGTAAACAAGACAAAGATGAGCTTTATAGAGTGTTACAACAGCTCAGAGGAGACCCACAGTGGGTAGCTCCTCTCTGTAGGCAGGGCATCCATTGAGTGTTCAGTTCTTAATACAGAGGAGGCCCTGGAGAGGGTAGCTCCTCTTTGCAATTGGTCCTCCCAATGTCTGCAGGTCTCAGTGCTGAGGTGGCCCTAGAGAGGGTGGCTCCTCTCTGCCAGCAGGTTGTCTCTGAAGCTCTCGGCAGAGGGGGTAGCTCCTCTCTGCAACTTGTAGTTCCCTCATCTCCAGCTATCAGCAGAGAGTTATCTCCTCTCTGCAGCTGATCATCCCATTGTCTCTCTACCCTCTTTGTGTCAAGGACATCCTCTGCCCCAGCTCTGGCTGAGCCCAGGGCTTTTATGAACCTCAGAGGGGTGGCAGTGCATGCCAATTGGTCTATGGGTGGCCATAGGTGGGCCTGAAAGAGGCACCACCAGTCCCCACTCTGGTCCACAGGACTGACAGCCTGGCCCCTAGCCTTCAGGCCTTCCCTGGCCTGAAGGTGGGGCCTCACTGCGGACCCACCCCTTCCACCTAGGAATCAATCTGCCTCTGGCTGCCATGTGGGACTTGGCCCCAACCCCTGCTCAGAGATTGGAGCAGGCTCTGGGAGCAGACAGAGGCCAAGCAGTGGGAGCAGGCACCCCTGAGTCTTCAGAAGGAGGGTCCTTTCTGGGGCCCTCAAGGGTGCAGGTTGCAGAGATGCCTGGGTCCTGAGACTGGGATGGTGGCCACAGAGGCACCCAGGGAGCTCCTGCTCCAACTCAGAAGGGGTGGGGCTCCCACCAGCTCCATAGAGTGTGCAGCCCCAGCTACGCCTTCCTGCTGCAGCTGGCCTGAGGGCAGCAGCCATCACCATCATTGGCACCCTTGTTGAAAACCAATTGGCTGTAAATATGAGGGTTTAATTTCTGTACTCTCAATTCTGTTCCATTGATCTCTATAGCTATCCTTATGCCTACTCCGACTTTTTTTGCAGAACTTTACAAAGCTTGTTTTGACCTAGACATTTAAATGTATTTTGTTCTGTACTACAAACCTACAAACTTGCACTTTAGAATAACTTTTATTTTTATTTTGGAGACAGGGTCCCACTCTGTTGCCCAGTTTGGAGTGCAGTGGCACTATCTCATTGCAGCCTCAACTTCCCAGGTTCAAGCAATTCTCCCACGTAGGCCTCCAGAGTATCTGGGACCACAGTTGCCCACTACTACACCTCCTAATTTTTTTTTGTAAAGACAGGATTTCACCATGTTGTTAAGCCTGGTCTCAAACTCCTGGGCTCAAGAAATCTGCCCACCTTAGCCTCCCAAAGTGCTAGGGTTACAGGCATGAGCCATGGCACTCAGATTTGAACATCCTTAAATAGATCACAACACATTTAAAAAATAATAGTTTGAAGAAATTCCAGCTGAGTGTGGTAACCAAAGTCCCAGCTACTTGGGAGGCTGAGGTGGGAGGATCGCTTGAGCCTGAGAGGTCAAGCCTGCAGTGAGCTGTGATCGTGCCACTGCATTCTTACCTGGGTAACAAAGTGAGACCCTGTCTCAAAAAAAAAAAAATTCCTTTTTAGTTTGGCTCTGAAATGCTGAAGGCTTTGCTGCTTCAAAGTTCAAGTCAAGGAACTTTAACAGAATTTCAAGTCTGGCATGGTAACTTTCTTTCGTATGTAGTCATCATTTATTTACCTTTTGTACTCTGTTTAATCAAGCAGTCACATCGATTCTCTGGATGGCTTCTTGCCGTTGATGTATTTGAAGAAACTTTTATTCTTGTTCTTGGAACTGCCTATCAAGCAGCTCATCAAGTTATATTTTTATCTGCTAAATGGATTGTTCTTGAGCTGCCAAATTTTTGGCTGTCTTGTTCTTTTTACTTAAGCAAGTGCTCTGTCTTTTCAAAAGTGTTCTGTGTTTCTCAAAATAACATCTTTTAGGCCAGGCACAGTGGCTTACACCTGTAATCCCAGCACTTTGGGAGGCTGAGGCCAGGAGTTTGAGACCAGCCTTGGAAACATAGTGAGACACCTGTCTCTACAAAACAATTTTTAAAAAAATTAGCCAGGTGTGGTGGTGTGTGCCTGTAGTCCAGCTACTTGGAAGGCTGAAGTAGGAGGATTGCTTGAGCCCAGGAATTCAAGGCTGCAGTGAGCTATGATTGTGTCACTGTGCTTCAACATGGATGACAGAGAGAGACCCTGAATCTGAAAAAACAACAACAACAAAAAAAAAAACTTCTGTTTTGCCATTGAGTTGTGTGGGGTTATTTTTGGTTCAAGTTTCTGTTTTTGTTTTTTTTAACCAGTGTTTTTTTTTTTTAATCCAGTACATGTACTTTTTCTACATATAAAGCATGTTTTAAAACTGTTAGCGTTCTCATTACTTTTAGAATTTTAAATATGCCTTTGAAATTTTTCTCTTTCTGGGTTCTGGAAACTGCTCCCTCCCTGTCCCTTGGTCCCTAGGAGTGGTGACAACTCTGGTTTTACTGGGTCTGGGTACTGCACCATCCTCTGTGGTTTCTCCACACCTTTGTAGAGTCTCTTTATTCAACTCACCTCGAATTAGCCTAATTTGGGTGTGCCATCTGTTTCCTCTAGGAATCTGACTGTTAACATAATGCATAAGGAATTTCTCAGCTTGTTAGAAAGAAGGGAGGGAAACAATTATTTATTAAACATTTTTTTCCAGGTATTGTTTGAGACACTTGTACATGTTTCATGTAATTCTCCTAATAACCCTATGAATTACTGTCATAGTTATTTCAGGAGAGTCAGTGGGGTTTCAGAGAGAGATTACAAAACTTATCTACGGTCATTTAGCTTCTAAGTGGCAAAACTGGAATTTAAATATGAGCATCTGACTCAGTGTTCTATATTTTTTCTTGTCTGCCATGCTGAAAGAAAATTCATTCTGTTTTCCTAGCTGATATCAACTATAAGGGGGAAAAAATCCTTTAATGACTTAGTTACTAACAGGACAAAGTCTAAGTTCCTTAGCCTACTGCTAATGGTTTTTCATTCCTTCCTTCCTTCATTTATTCAACTTTTATTGAGCACCTGCTGTATGTTAGGCTCTGTTTAAGTACTGGAGATATGAGAGTGATCAAAGAGACAATATTCCTGATCTCACGGAGTTTGTAAGGGAGACAAACAATATCTACACAAATAAAGTATGTAGTTTATCAGATAGTGATAGATGCTTGGGAGAAGAATTAAGAAAGGAAAGGGATAAGGAGTGTTGAGATTTGCAATGTTAAGTAGAGATGTTAAGGAAGGCCTTATTGAGAAGGTGACTTTTTTTCCGGAGACATAGTCACTCTGTCACCCAGGGTGGAATGCCATGGCACAAAGTCGTCACTGCTACCTCTGCCTCCCAGGTGCAAGTAATTATCATGCCTCAGCCTCTCGAGTAGCTGGGATTACAGGCATGTGCCACCACACCCGGCTATTTTTGTATTTTTAGTAGAGGGTGTGTTTCACCATGTTGGCCAGGCTGGTTTCAAACTCCTGGGCTCAAGTGATCCACCAGCCTGGGCCTCCCAAAGTGCTTACAGGTGTAAGTCACCAAGAAGGTGACTTCTGAGGAAAACCTTGAAAGAAGTGTGGGACTGAGCCGTGGATATGGGGGAGGAGGCAGAGGATGGGAGGCAGGAGGGCAGCAAAGCCTCTGGGGCAGGAGTGCGTCTTGCGTGTTTGAAGAGTGGCAAGGAGGCCAGTGTGGCTGAAGCTGAGTGAGGGATAAAGTCATAGAAGATATGGTCAGAAGGGTGGGTGGTGGGCGGATTAGGTAGGGCCTTGCGGTCACTGCAAGGACATTTTTTTCTAAGTGAGGTGAAGTCATTGGAGTGCACTGAGCAGAGGAGCCGCATTTCAGCAGTCCACGGAGGGGGCTGTGCTGAGAACAGACTGCAGGGGCAGGGTGGGGGAGCATTTGTTTCTGACCCACAGTCTTCTTTTTCTGATAAACATAAACAGTTGTTACCTTCTGCTCCAAAATACTTGATATTCACCTCACCTCTTTGCCCATCTAAGTCTAGACATTATTAATCATTATTATTTTTTGAGACAGGATCTCCCTCTGTTGCCCGGGCTGGAGTGCAGTGGCGCAATCACAGCTCACTCAGCCTCGACCTCCCAGGCTCAGGTGATGCTCCCGCCTCTGCCATTAACCCGATGGATTACTGTCCTAGGTATTTCAGGAGAAGCAGTGGAGTTTCAGAGAGAAACTCCTGAGTAGCTGGGCCTACAGGTGTGTGCCACCACTCCTGGCTACTTTTTTCTGGAGATGGGGTTTCATCATGTTGCCTAGGCTGGTCTCAAACTCCTGAGCTCAAGCCATTCACCTGCCTTGGCCTCCCAAAGTGCTGGGACTACAGGCAGGAGTCACCATGCCCAGGCTTCTCTACATTCTTCTAGCCTCAAGGCAAAGTCGCTCGCCTCTTTGAGAGGACTAGGAAAGTGTTCTGGGAAGCCCGGGAAATAGGTTATCAGCCCTGAAAAGAGTGCCCCGATTTGCAGATGAGCCCCAATTTGTTGAGACCAGCCTAGGCAACTTAGTGAGACCCTGTCTGTACAGAATTAGCCAGACACGATGGTGTGCATCTTTGGTCCTAGCTACTGGGGAGGCTGAGGTGGGAGAATCACTTGAGCACAGGAGTTTGAGGCCAGATGGGAAAGATGATCAGACAGAAAAATATGTCCAGAGGCAAACTTCCAAGGCAATGTGAGGATATGGGCACATGGAAGGTACTGTCCTTCAGCTCATACAATTCTTTTTTTTTTTTAATTTATTTTATTGCATTTTAGGTTTTGGGGTACATGTGAAGAACATGCAAGATTGTTGCATAGGTACACACGTGGCAGCGTGATTTGCTGCCCTCCTCCCCATCACCTATATCTGGCATTTCTCCCCATGCTATCTCTCCCCAACTCCCCACCCCCCAGAAGCTCATACAATTCTTAAAGCAACCCAAGAAGCTTGTTTGTGGCATGGATTGAGTTACTATTTCCTATTATGTTGAATTTTTTACTTTGGATTATTCTATCACTTTTTAAAAAAAACCTTCTCTCTCTCTCTCCCTTTTTTCAAATAGGATCTTCAACAGGATGGAAGAGATGCACTAGATCATTTTGTCTTCTTTTTCTTTAGAAGAGTTCAGGTGTTGCTGCATTTTTTCTGGAACAACCATTTGCTGTAAAAGGAATATAAAGGTCAAGTTCCGTTTTCTTTCTACCGTCTGAGAAGCATGAATCCCACTGGGACAGATGGGAAGAACACCCTTCTCCATCTCCCTCTCTTTGTACCCATCACTGTTGGGCTACACCTGGTTTGTTGAAGAACTGCGGGCACAGGAGCCATTTGTCCTTCAGAGGAGCTAGCTGTGAGATGTCTGTGATCACGTCATGGCGAAAACCCAGGGAGTAATTAGGAGCCCAGGAAGCCTTGCTGTCCAGAAAATGCCAGTGCCATGGATGGCCCCAGGGCTCCTTGTGAGGAAACCTTGAGCATTTCCTTCCAGGAATGAAACAGAACCTCGTCCTCAAACTAAAGGTCACAGAAATGGACACTTGCTCCTGGGCCACTCCCTGGGCACCATGCCCTCTGCTGACCTGTTGGCTCCACTCTTGTTACTCATGTCCAGATCTGCAGTGCCAGCTTCTCCTTCTCAGTGACATGTCACCTCCCTGCCCCAATCCTGGCTCCCACCCTCTCTGGAAAATCGAAAGGAAACGTTTGTCTCTAATACTCAAATCCAACAAATGGCTCATCCATCTACCTTCCCATTTCCGTGCCTAGAGGCCCCACTACCACCACCAGCAGCGTCGGTGTTTCCAAATCCTTCTCAGGCTCTGATTCTACAACATTTACGTTCTTTCCTCACCTTTGATCCTCTCACTCCTCTGTGACCCCCTTCAAGTCTTCCTCAACCACTCCGGTGTTTCCCAACCACTGGGCCCTGCCGGAAGATGTCTTTCCCTGCTCTGCCATCCTCTTTCATGCTTGCCTGCTTAAAATCAGGAGTGCTTAGCCCTTGGCCAAGTCCTGCCTTCTAGAAGAGTGCAAGATCTGAAAGGGTTATGAATCCATCACAAGGTAAAAACTTCTCTTTTGCTATTGCTGGATGGATTTGCTGTTATTGGTTGGTGGGCCCTATGCCTGTTGAATGTATTTCACTCATTCTCTCCTCACTCTCTTATGCAGTTCTTTCACCTTCATTCTTCTCCTTCTACCTTTTTGTCTACCTCATATTCCCTCCCTCCTCTCCTTGAAAAGAAGTATAAATATTAAGAAAGTTTGTTGTTACGTTAAAAGTTTATGTATATATCTTGAGTTCTTCATAGGATAAGTGTTATTTTTAAAAATTCTAAAAATGAAATAAATATTGTTACTTTATTAAGCATGAAACCCCTGTACATATTTCTTTTTTGAAGGAGGAACCCCATGGCAGCGCCTAGCCACTTATTCCTGCTCATATTGGTTTGAAGCTTTGATCATATGTAGCATCGACTTTGTCCTTCCAAAGGGAAATGTCCCCACTTTTTAGTCTGTCTCAGGCAGTGCCTGTTTATTTCTATTATTACTTAGGTTCTGGCTGGCTGGCATGGAAAAGACCCTAAAACTTTCTTTTTAAAAATTTATTTTGAATAGTTTTTTATTTATATGATTCAAAAATCAAAACAAGGCCAGGCACGGTGGCTCATGCCCGTAATCACAGCACTTTGGAAGGCCAAGGTGGACAGATCATGAGTTCAAGAGATCGAGATCATTCTGGCCATCATGGTGAAACCCTGTCTCTACTAAAAATAGAAAAATTAGGCCGGGCACGGTGACTCACGCCTGTAATCCTAGCACTTTGGGAGGCCGAGGTGGGTGGATCACCTGAGGTCAGGAGTTCAGGACCAGCCTGGCCATCATGGTGAAAACCCATCTTATTAAAAAAAAAAAAATAGAAAAATTAGCTGGGCATGGTGGTGCACACCTGTAGTCCCAGCTACTCGGGAGGCTGAGGCAGAAGAATCGCTTGAACCCAGGAGGCAGAGGTTGCAGTGAGCCGAGATGGTGCCACTGCACTCCAGCCTGGCAACAAAGCGAGACTCTGTCTCAAAAAAAAAAAAAAAATCAAAACAATATGTAAAGGTTTACAGTGAAAACCCTTTCTCTTATTTTCTACCCTAAATTCCAGTTATGCTTATTAGTTTTTATGTATCCTTCCAGAGGTTCTTTGTATAAATACTAATTAATACACACACACACACACACACACACACACACACATATTTACATACAAGAGGTAGCATGTAATACACACTGTTCTGTACCTTGATTTTTTTTGCTTAGCATGGATGGTCAGGCACTGTTCTGAGTGTCTTACAGATGTTAACTTACTTTTTCATAACAACCTTATGAGATAGGTATTATTATTTGCTCTTTCTTACTGTTAAGAAATTGAGGCAGTAGTTAATAGAGAGAGGCAGTAGCGGGGTTAACAGACTTGCTCAAGGGCACGCAGCCGGTAAGTGACATGGCTGGGATTCCAAACCAGGCAGGTATTCCTAAGTCTGGATTATTGACCACTATGCCATACTGCCTCTTGGAGAGCCTGCTATGATCCTCAGAGAACTTCATAGAGCTTTGCACTGTGTTCTGTTAAATGAATGTACACAATTTGGCTGGGTGTGGTGGCCCACATCTGTAATCCCAGTGCTTTGGGAGCCGAGATGGGAGCTCACTGGAGCCCAGGAGATGGAGGTTAAGGTGGGCTGTGATGGCATCACTGTACTCCAGCCCAGGTGATAGAGTGAGACCCTGTCTCTAAAAAAAAAAAAGGAAAATTAAAATTAAGGGAAATGAATGTACATAACTTTATCAAGCCTCCTTTTATGGACACCTGAGTTATTTCCAATACTTAGCTATTATAAACCATGATGAAATAAGTAACCATGTATACTTTGGATATTTGTTGAATGAATTTCCTGGGGGCAGATTGCTGGGTGAAAGGAAAATGCATTTGTGACTTTGCCAGACCCTGCCATGGGGTTGCACCACTTTACATTCCCAGTGGAGTGCCTGTTCCCCTCAGCCTCTCCAGCAGATTATGTCATTAAACTTTAAAATTTCTGCCAAATTTATGGGTAAAAATTTTTAACTCAGAATGACTTTAATTTTCACATTTAAAATAATGAGTTCGCCTGAACATCTTTTTCTTTCTCTGCTGCCCAGGCTGGAGTGCAGTGGCACAATCACGGCTCACTGCAGCCTCCACCTCTCAGGTTCAAGCGATCTTCCACTCTCGGCCTCCTGAGTAGCTGGGGCTACAGGTGTAGCCCTACCAAGCCGGGCTAATTTTTTAAATTTTTGGTAGAGACAGGATCTCACTATGTTTTCCAGATCAATGTCAAACTCCTGGGCTCAAGCGATCCTTCCGCCTTGGCCTCCCAAAGTGCTGGGATTACAGGCATGAACCACCGCGCCTGGCCCTGGGCATCTTTTTTTTTTTTTAATATTCAGGAGCCATTTAGCATTTCCTTTTATGTGGACTGTTTATTCATATCCTTTGCTCATTTTTTTTTTCTCCTGGGTTTCTTTACTTGTTCTTCCTGATTTCTTATTGCTGGCCTAGAGCTTATGATGATGCACCAGTGCTGAGCCTTCTTTGCAACAGCGTCTACACCCTCAGATTTTCAGCAGAAGGTTGTTAAGGCTTTTCTTTCCTTTTCTTCGGTGTCTGCTGTGTTTTCATGCGCACAACCTCTCTTGAGGCAGGGGGAGCTGAGGCAGGTGGAAAGGGTGATGGTGCCAAGGCATCAACCCTGGAACAGCCAGAGGCACCGGGGAAAGGTGTCAGTCGGGATCTCCAAGTAGTCTGGCGTTGCTTAGGGGAGCACAGCAGCTCTGATGGTGGCACTACGGTTCCGGACCTGTTGGGTATCCGCGAGGAGACAGGGTCGGGGCTGGGAAGTTCACTCACCCCTAAAGGGAGAGGCACCAAGTCCAGGAACACCCCATGGGCGTCCCTTTCCCATCCCAAGTGTGGAGACTCACAGGGTCCTGGTCCTAAGCTCGGGACCATGAGAGACGCAGTTGGTCCCGAGTTCAGGACTAGGGGTCCCCTTAGCTCCTCAGATCCCGCAGAATCCCGCCTCTGCCCCATGGGAGCCAAGGCCAGGCCGCCCGAGGTGCTGTCCGCCGGCGGGAGGCTGTGTTCACTACCGACGCCTCCCAGGCTGGCGAGCGAGCAGCGCCCCGGGGCTGCGCTCCCGCAGAGCTGGTCCCTGCCCTGCCCCTACCTGCAGCCGCGCGAGTGGAACCGCATCCCGCTCTTTCGTTTTCGTTTCCCGGAAGGAAAGCGATTACTGGAGAGCCTCGGCGCGCCTGCCCGCCTAGGGAAGACCCGGGTGCACACGCCTTGGCGCTCCCCGAAAGAGATTTCCTCCCACACATCCTTCCAGTTCTTGGAGCCAGGTTAGGGGTTTGGGGTAGGAGGACTCGGGACCACAGGTCTTAGGGCCCCAGCAGCCACAGCCGGGAGAGCGCTCGCGACAGAAAACCGGTGGCTTCCTCATCTCTACCTGTAATGCAGGTAAGAGCCTGGCGGCTGAACACGCAGCGCGTCCGCGGAGCCCCCTGCTCCCTCATCCTCTCCCCACCACCTCGATTTCCAAACCTATTTTATCAGACCTTTTACCTGGTGGGAACCTCTCTTTCCAACACATTCCTAAACCTCACAGCCATCCCTCACTCACCTCCCTTTCCACCTCCAGACGCGGGTCGCTGCCTCTGACTCTCGGTGTCATAGACAGCTCCGAAGGCAACACGCACAGTCCCTGCAGGCCCTTTCTGCAGTCCCCTTACCACTGGTCGCGACTACACCAACCAGATGTGAGGTCCCTGGAAGTTCCTGCCCAAGCCTGGTCCTCACAGCTGGTGAACGCATTCATGCAGGGATCCCCTCTTTAGCAGCCCCTCCCCACTCACCGGTTTCCTAGGAGCCTCAGAACTGCCCCCAGAGCTGGGGCTCCGTCCCACTCCAAGGCCTTTCTCCACTCCCTTCTCGCCAAGACCCATATCCATTTATGAGACCCTTCCCTGGCCTCCATGCTGAAACCCAGGAGTCTGATCCTCAGCAGCTCCATGGCTGGCATTTCCTAGTCAGTTACAGCCCCGAAATTCCCCACTCCTCTTACTTGGAAGAGGGTCGAGGAGTCGACAAGAGGCCTCCTGCGAGTCCTACGCAATTCCTGTGCCTTGGGCCCCTTCTCAGCAAGGCAAGCTTCCCTTCCCCACCACGTGGCAGCCCCTGAGGTTTGATTACTTGGGATACAGCACCAACGCGGGAGTTGGTGGGGCACAAATGAAGTGAGAACGACCCTGAAAGCTGTTGAATCCCCTTTCGCTGCAGCCAAGGCTTCTGGAGTTTACTTTGTTGGCTCGGATTCAAAATCTTTCTCAGCTCTTCTTGGTTCCCAAGAGATGAATGTAAAGCTGCTGACGATCCTAGAGTGAAAAATGACTTGGTGGAACTGGTTTCGCTTTTCCTTTGAGTGCTGTGGCAGCCTGTGGCTGAGCAGGAGTCCCAAGGAGCCTCCTGTTCCTACAAAATCCTGCCACCTTTTTTGTTTTCTCATCGAGATGGAAGAGCCCCGTCATCTCTGGAGGCCATGCTGATTGTCGAATTGTAAAGATACAGGCTTCCAGTAATGAGACCTTAGGATTCAGAAATGTATCCTTTCTTCTTCTCTTTTGAAAACAGTGTTTGTTTGTTCTGAGACGGAGTCTTGCCCTCTTGCCCAGGCTGGAGTGCAGTGGTGCGATCTTGGCTCATTCCAACTTCCGCTTCCTGGGTTCAAGTGATTCTCCTGCCTCAGCCTCCGGAGTAGCTGGGATCACAGGCTCCATCAGCATGCCCAGCTAATTTTTGTATTTTTCGTAGAGACGGTGTTTCACCATGTTGGTCACGCTGGTCTGAGACTCCTGACCTCAAGTAATCCATCCGCCTCAGATTTCCAAAGTGTTGCGATTGCAGGTGTGAGCCACCGCGCCCGGCCTGTTTGTTTATTTCTGATGTAAGGTCTTTTGATCCTGACCCCTCAGGTTTCCTGCGCTGTCCTCGCCAAGGATCCAGTGAGTATTCCTAGGCCCTCAGATTTCAATCAGACAAGCCTTGGCAGGGGATCCCTCTGGAGGAGTTAGCCACATTTATGGAAAGCTTGAATTGGAAGGGTGTCATTTATTGTGTCCACTGGGTACAAGATGTTGATGAGACTGAGTTGAAGATATACATGGTTCCTACCTTTAAGGTTGATGCAGTGTATTGGCAGAGATAAACACTCTTTCCCTTCCAAAAAATTCTTCAGACATTTAAAGATGGCTGAGCCTTCACCAAGATGCTCTTCTTCAACTGCCCT